GCTTGCCGTACATTGTGGACAGTTTTGTTTGAGCGCGTTTGCATTTTTTATTAAACATGGCAGAGGAAGCAATTGAATTTGTTCAATTTATTGAAAATAATCTTTGCATATACAACAACATGATGCAGGAATATTCCAGAAAGGACATAACTGAAAAAGCCTGGGCAGAAATAGCCCTGGGAATGAACTGGTCAGGTAAGTGCACAGAAAATATCTTTTTGCATTTTTGTGGTTTTGTAGTTAATTATCATTTTATAAAGAAAAGTTCCGCTTCCATGGCAAACTGTAACAAATGTGTCCTAATTAATTTCTTCGCAGTGGCTGATTTCAAGGAAAAGTGGAAAAATATGCGAAACGGGTTTGTTAGGAGTTTGAAACCATCTCCAAGGGGCTCTTCTAAAGCAAAGAAACCATACTACTTGCACGACATAATGAGCTTTGTGTTGCCATATGTGAAAACTGTGCAACATTCATAGACCACCTGTAATTTTTTATTGCCAGATTCTGATGTCCATCACTATGAGGATGTGGAGTGCACCGAAAATGATGAATTCAATTGCGATGTAATGCCGCAAACATCCAAGCATTCACAAGATACCCCATCTAGTGTGGAAAAAGAAAAGGAAGAAAGTAGAAGAAAAGGACGAGGTTGACGTTGGGATGCTGAACTATCTGCAAGAAAAAACCCAAAGGAAGACGGCCGATGATTCACGTAAAATGTACCTTTTGAGCTTGCTGCCGGAAGTAACGAGTCTTTCAGATATGCGTTTAAGATAGTTTAAAATCCGTACATTGCCCTTACTGGAGGAATTGATGTCTGATCAGGAGCAAGAAACTGCGAATCAGCAGTTTGTTCCATGTGGAACAATTCAAATGAATACGCCAGCTTCTTCACCCATTGATCCACAAACTCCAACAACAGTAATATACACAACCGACAGCAACTCCAATAGTGACCCACAAGCTTTGGGTAGAAATCAATCATTTTTCTTCTCACAATAGTTTTGGTAAAAAATGCATGTATGTATGTACACTAGGGTGGTATTATTTTTGCGTATTGATTTCATTTTCCGTTTTTATTTAACTAAAATTTTGAGAGATGAAGTTTTAATGTACATAATTTTTACATATCGTTACTTTAATTCACAAAGACCCTAAATAACAATTTTTTCGAAACTGCGTTTTCACAGGTTTTTGTAGAATGTATTAAAATACAACTTCAATACAAATTTTAAAGAGTTAGTACCAAAAGTAGTTTTTTGCTTCTCCTGGAAAATTTATTGGTTAGGGCCTTTGTGAATTAATGTAACAATATACACTTGAGATCAGCTGATTAATTCATCAACATTTTGATCAATTGTGCCTATTTTTCATAGGCCTGAATACGTATTTTATAATTCATTAATTATTATAAATTCATTACTTATTTAATTTTTAATAAAGCAGAATTAAACTGAATTAAAGCTACATGTGTATTCATTTATGAAGAGTGGATGAGTAAGCAATGAAGAGAAGGTATGGACTCAGTTTTGTGCTCCCAAAACGAGGCAGACGTCAGTAGAGTAAACATATTCCCATTCACTTGCATTGCCTGTGAAGAAGAGTAATTATTTTTAGTTCGAAAATACAGTCATATGGCACACGTTCTTCAAAAGTGTCACAACTCAAAATTACACGTTCGTCAGAAAATGCGAAATTTGAATTTGAATTTATAATCTCTGGTTGTTGTGCATGCACTTTAATTAAATACATAAATAAAAATATAATTTAATATATAATGGCACTATATTATGGAGAATTCAGAGAGGGTTAAGAAGGGCTCAATGCCTTATACATACACTTGAACGAAGTGCTCGGTAAGACATGGGTCCGATCGCCTCGACTCGCGCACCTGATCTACAAAAAATTCATTAGACCAATAATGGACCCATGGCGTCTTGGTATGAAAGAAAAACATACGTGCGTCAAAAGGTTGGAGGGTGTCAAAGGCTTGAGGAACTATTTATCTATAGTTGGGCCGGTAAATCACACTATTCCGTTCCTCAAACTCCTCAAAAACCAAGCTAACCTAACCTAGGCATCGAACCTCTGAGGTAGATCAAAAAAACGAAAATTTCAATTTTATATTTTCATTTACTTGATACACCAACCTTAGGCTAGATATAATCTTATTGGCTGTGGATACATTAAAAATAGCAAATTTACAATAGATACATCCACTTTTGTTTGATAATTCACACTTGTTACACAGCTAAATATTTTATTGTGTATTTGTATTAATGTATTTGAAAGTTTCTATTACTAAGTAGTTGATTAATGATTCTTTCTTTTTTAATAATTCAAAAATGTGCTATTAAATTAATTATATATCAAACGTAGTTTGAACACCGATGCGCTGTTTTATATATAATTGCATATGCTTACCACAGCATCATGTCGGGAACATGTCGGGTATATCGTATACATATGTTGTGCCGTTTTTTGTGCCTGAAAACGTTTCTGTTGCAGAAAATCTTTGGTCATGTAGTGCGTGGAAATTGGATGACCTTGCAGTGAGCCCAGCTTTTCGCCATACGCCTTAAACTTAATCTGAAATAAACCAACAAAACAAAATTTATTTCATTTGCAATGTGTTGAGACATTACTCTTCGGTATATTTTACTTACAATTCCCGCCTCTGGATCCGTGACATCCGTGTACATAGCAATATCTAAGAAGTCATTAGCAATGCATAAGCGTATGGCCTGTGTTGGCGCTTGCGGTGACTGTCGGATCAGCATTTTCAACTCAGCTTGCAGCACACGTAATTTCCACAGACGTTGACCGTAGCGCATTATCATTCTGGTGACAGATTCCTCAATCTTAGCTGGATCCATTATAACAGTTGGCACGAACTTTAGCAAAATATGATTACAATCTGTGCGCTTGGAATGCGGATGCGAGAAGGCCACTTCCAATTCGTCCATTGATTCGCGTAACACGCGTTCGCCTTCGTTTTGTAGATAGAATGATGCCTCTTTGGCGATGAGATCCGAATGTCGAATAATGGAACGTATGAAGGAACGATAGTCGGTGACTTCTTTGCCCTTCGTACCCTTGGCTTTACCCAGATAGAGGTGCATTTTTTGCTTCGCAGTTGGTAAGGCTTCGAATTCATAGGATTCAGTTCAAGTTGGAAAGCACATGCTGGCTCCAAGTGACGGTATATTCTATCTTCTTCGAAATTGGGAATTGGCGTCTATACAAAAATTTTTAAAAGATAAATAGGTAAAACAATGAAATAGAAACATGTCGCTCACTTGCGGCGCTGGAAGAGCTCATCACGGTGAAGTTTACAAAAACTGCCAAAAATATGCGCCATTTGTACATCGTCCATGTCGCCGTTGTCGGGAGTCATTGCCGGATTATATTTTGGAGTTGAGCTGTGATACGGGTGGCATATTCTGTAAATAAATAAATATGTTCAATATAACCCGATAATGTTTAATTTTATTGATATACTTACATACTTCAATTCGCGCGAAAACAATCGATGAAAATGAAAACAATAGGGCTGTTCAGGATGTTGTGGAAATGGGTTTGGATTTGCAGCTTACTTTATAGTTGCAGTTTGTACTTTATATGCAATAATCCCATTGCCAGGGCAGAGAAACATTTGGCAACAAAAAATAATTATCTAAATAATGTCGTACATTTTGTGGAGAAGAACTTTCATTTAAATCTAAATTTTCGAATTCTGGTAAGGTACTCGGATTTCGCTGGATTCGTTGTTGGTTTTCTTTTTCAAGTAAGAAGGTAGTATATGATATACCATCTTTTTTTCTTATAAAATTATGTAAGATAGAAGCGCTTTGTATTATTGAAATGATGGTGTCATATTTTTGGCACCGTATAGGTGTCGGAAAAACTCCAATTTTTTTGTCATCATTCCGAAAGTGCACTCTATGGTTTTCCTACCGCGACTGAGTCTGTAATTGAATATACGCATCTTATTGTTTATGTTTCTTTCCGGGTAAGGACGCATTAAATTTTTCCTTAAAGGAAATGCGCTATCCGCAACAAAGTAGTACGGAAAGTTATTGCCACTTTCGTCGTGCGGAAGTTCACTTGGAGATGGTATATTGCTGCAGTTTTCCAACCAACGTCCAAACGTCGAAACTCGAAAAACGCCTTCGTCACTATTCCGTCCCGCAAATCCGCACTCTATTGTTGTGAACAAACCATCGGCATCGCAAAAGCTAAGTAGAATTACTAAATAGTAGTTTTTATAGTTAAAGTTGGCCGACCCAGAATTTGGATATTTTTCAATCCTGACGTGCTTTCCGTCGATGGCGCCCAAGCAGTTTGGCAATTGCCATAAATCAGAGAACCGTTTCGCAATACTTATCCATCCATCCTCATTTGGCAACGGCATGTATGACTCTTTTAATGAGTTCCAAATAGCTTTTGTCGTTTCTTCAACAATCAATCCGATTGTGCGTTCCCCTCTTTGAAAATATAAAGCCAGTGCATTAAACGTGCATCCAGTAGCTAGATACCTAAAAAAAAAAGTTTCTTTGTTTATAAACAATAATTTTTTCGCAGTGGCTAATTGTAAGGAGAAATAAAACCATCTCCAATGGACTCTTCAGCGAAAGCAAAAAGCCTGTGACACACGTACAAGCTGCAGAAGACGTGAGAAGTCTGGGCTCAATGTGGTCACGTTTAAGTTCCCGTGTTTTTTGACCATATACAAATTTTTGAACTACATACCTCAATGTTATCATAATTCGCTCCTCTGGACCAATGCGCTCACGCATGTTGGTGTTTTGCTTCTGAATGCAAGGACCCACCAGCATCACCAGAT